ACATGGGCTCTTTTTTGTGAAACAAGTGTTATTTTCAGCTTTCTAGCTTTTCCTAAAAATTTCAGCTTCCCAGCTTTTCTGGTCCACGAATTAGCAATTTTCTCGTCAAAATTTTCACGAGGCCGTACGTGAACTGGGAGCATACCTGAGGACTGAGAGATGGGGGGATTAATGCCATTTTTCAACAAAGATAGTTTTGAATAACAATTCGGAAGAAATGAGTGCATTTTGCAACGAGCGACCACCCTGATCCTTTCCTAACATTTAAATGCGTCAAAATTTGTTCCGGTCAAAGTTCTGATCCTGCTATACTATTCCGGGAACAAAAAAAAACTCTAAATTAAACGAACTTACTCATAAAAGGAATGATCCGTTGGTCGATCATATGCGTGCGCATGCTGCATCATATGTTGCCGATAAGCGGGACCTCTGTAGGGGCCCATCTCACCTATCTCGGACTTGGTACCACGGAAATCCGATTCACGAGCACGGGCAAGCCGATTTCTGCAATAAAAAAGAAATTATGCATAACTTTTGCTCAAATTCTCATAACAGATCTGATAAGAATGATGGCGCTAATCTCCAAAACAATGATTTTGCTCTGTTTTTATCTTGTTTTCGAAACTTCCGACTTTTTTAAACGCATTTATGAGTTTTTGCTTAACCATTCGGATCACTTCTGACTGCTTTTAATCCTCATAAAGAGTAAAATTTTGAGGAAGTGAAAATTGCTGGCAGGTGAACGGAAGAAAAAGGGGAGCATGGATGAAGCAGAAGATCAAACTAGGCCCTTTTCTTAAAAAAGCAAAAAAAAAAAACAAATGCGACTCTGACCTGCGAAGCGAATTGATAAAATCTTCGCCATAATGAATATCACCTCTTGTTGAGCCATCTTCAGAACTCATTCGTTCCGGTACAGTAAATGAATGGTTCACTGCAACAAACATCCTTTGTAAGTTTCAGCAATAGATTTAGGTTGGGTGTGCGCATTCCAACAAGAGGACTTCTATCAATTTCTCGAGTTCTTGAAAGCAAAATCTAAATACCATGTATATCTATATTAACATAAATGAAATACTGAAGTATGTTTGTCAATATAAAATGAGAAATCCAAAAAATCATTGCATAAAGTACAGATTATACGCGCAGAAACTACAAATTAATCGTTTACTGATTATAATATAATCTTAAGCGCCCCAATTCTTAT